AAAATTAAATATATAATAGCATGACTATCATTTTTGCTGACCACCTAAATGCAAACTAAGTATGAAATTTATGTTCTTCTATTTTATTCTGCCTTGCCTGTGTTTTGGTAATTTACTACAAGCCAATTTAATCACAAACCCAGTTTATTCTTGATTTTCAATGAGCTGGATAAAAATCTGTTTATACATTTATTGCCAGAACTCGCAATAGTAATTGTTTTAATGGCTTTACAGTTCTTCTTAGTAGCCATTTTTGCTTAGTCGTGATGCGCTCTGAAATTAATGAAAATATAAATATAAAATAAAAATCTCCATGTGATTCTGTATTGATCATACATGCACAGTGGCTACTTAAAAATATTCTCTTGCCTTGTTGTCTTCTGTTTTAACATTTACAACATGCACAGTTATTAGCACACTTCCTACCTTCTCTGCTACATTAAAAACAAATATTTCCAAACAATGTATAGGTTTTTACCACAGATACTAATACAGAAAACAGTAAGAAAAATAATATGCAGTTTCTCCCTTTTTGATCTCAGGTTAGAGAGGAATTTCTGAAGGGAGCAGTGGCTATGCAGTAGTGCTAATCAGGGATAGGATTTCAAAGCTGTAGGACAGGAATGTGCAGAGGATTTTGCATACCCATGCATGTCAGAATAATCACTTATTCCATATGAATAGTTCCCTATGTTCTCTACCTGATTTGTCACCCTCCAGTTATAAGAAAATTAACTTCAAACACAGTTTCAGGAGTGTTACAGTACAGGGAGGTCATCAGAATTCTCGGGTAGACCCACAGATGCATGTTGGGAATTCTGTTGTCACATAGGGTTCTTCAGGCCTTCACCTCACCATGATTCATGTCCTAGGTGCCTTAGCACATACAAACCATGTTTCATGAAAAATGAGATCACCTCATTCATCTGCTTTTCTCTGTTTCCTATAAATAATCTGATTGACTTGCTTTCAACAAACTACAAAACAGCTCTCTCTCTCTCTCTGTGTGTGTGTGTGTGTGTGTGTGTGTGCATGTGTGTGTGCGATGTATATTGGCTGGAAGCTCTACTCTGGGTGACCCTGAGTGCTAACAGCTCTGTTTGATGGTCTGAAATGAGGAGTGTGTGTTCTCTGTTGTTTGGGTTAGAGGGGTGCAGTTCCAGGCTCTCTGTTCTCCAGACATTTGGTCTTTCCTCTATTTCTGCCCCCCACACTGTGTGATGAATGATGTCTTGCATCCATAGATGAGGGTCCAGAATATTCTGCATGACTGCACTTTTAGCCTTAATGTTTCAGAAGATAAAGGTCAAATCATGGAACAGTGCTACTGAAACACTACAGCATTACAGCGTAGCACTGTATTACAACATTACAATGTAGCATCACACACTGTAAGACATTTCAAGTTGGTTAAACTTAGAAACGAAGTTCACCTGCTGCCTTAACTTAAGATAACCTTTGTTTCAACTCAAAGTCAAGTCAAGACAATGGATTACATTAAGGTTAATTTTTCAATATTCAAAACTTGTCATGACAGTTGGAGTTAAAGAGAAGAAATAAATTCACATAACATCTTTTACGGTTCAACAATACAGCATTTATTTAAAGAAAGACTTTAGCAAATAACGTACCCTGGATTGAATTCTGTAATAAAAGCATGAACATAATGCAAGAGTTTAGTTTAGTAGTTAAATAGCCAGCTGGCTAGCTATATTGCTAATAATCTAATAGTTAATAAGTTCCATGAATAATGATAGTGTGGTGACCAATTGAGAAACAGTGGATTGATAGCAACAGCATGCTTTCACATTTTTTTGCATTCCCAGACCTGGTGGATATTGTTGAAGATGGGCTTGAGCTGAAGGTAGTGGATATTGTTGAAGATGGGGTTGAGCTGAAGGAAGTGGATGCTAAAGAAGATGGCGTGGAGCCGAAGGAAGTGGATGTTGTTTATGGTGAGGTTGAACGGTTAGAAGTGGATGTTGAAGAAGATGGGTTTGATCTGAAAGAGGTGGATGTTAAAGAAGATGGGTTTGATCTGAAAGAGGTGGATGTTAAAGAAGATGGGTTTGCGCCAAAGGAGGCGGATGTTAAAGAAGATGGACTTGAGCCAAAGGAAGTGGATGCTGCTTAAGATGAGGTTGAACCGATAGAAGTGGATGTTAAAGAAGATGGGTTTGCGCCAAAGGAGGTGGATGTTAAAGAAGATGGGCTTGAGCCAAAGGAAGTGGATGCTAAAGAAGATGGGGTTGAGCCGAAGGAAGTGGATGTTGCTGAAAATGAGGTTGAGCCCATGGACTTTGATGTGTAAGAAAATGATGGTGAGCTCATGATTTAAATGAAAAGTCCTGAAGCACATTAAATGTTTATAATGTAATATTTGTAATGTTATGGTGCTATAGTTTCATGTAAGAATGTGTGTCGTGCTGCCATCACAGGGCGCTATCACAGTTTCAACAGTGTTAAATAGGAGAATAAATGTAAATGATCTTAAACATAATTGATAATGGTCAGATTTTGCTGTTAGCTTCTAAAAACAAAGGAGCAAGAGTGCTTGGTCTACTCAGCAAGGCTGTGGAAGTGTGGGTGTGGTTGAGCGTGGGCTGCGGATGGAGAAGAGGCAGGTGGAACCAGCAGGTAATGTGTGATGATTCTTACCTGTGTGTGAATACGGCCAGTCAACTTATGTGTGCTTTGTTTATCCTTTCAGTGAACACTGTGAACCAGAGAGAGAGAGAGAGAGAGAGAGAGAGAGAGAGAGATGCTGAGGGAGTTCACACACACACACACATACGCACACTCAAGGAGTGTGACCTTGAAAGTGTAGTTCAGTTCAATTCAATTTTAATTATATAGCACTTTTAACAACAGACATTGTCACAAAGCGGCTTTACAGAAATCCAAAAATAAAATTTAAATTTAAATTGATCCCTAATGAGCAAGGAAAAACTTCCTGAGATGACCTGCGGAAGAAATCTTGGGAGCAACCAGACTCAAAAGGGAACCCATCCTCATCTGGGTGACACCGGATAGTACGATATGAATAGTTCCACTTCTATAACTGTATACTATAAAGTCAAGCAGCTACTTGCGTTGAGTACTTGAGTATGAGCATCATTAGTTTTGACTTTAAGTAACTGGAATCAAGCTGAAGTTATCAACTGTTCAGTGATGGAGACTTGAGTGTAAACGGTTCTTAGCAGTTGCTGTCTTTAAGCTATCCAAGACAGAACATCCACAGCCATCTTTAGAGTGTCTGTGTGGCAGCACCCACAGTTGCTTTTATGTAAAGCGAGCCCCAAGGCTCTGTCAAAGTCCACCTGTCTCCCGTGTCCTCCTTCCCACACACACACACACACACACACACACACACACACACACACACACGCCAGGTTCTAAATAGGTCTACGCTTTAAGGTTACCTCAAATTTATATTATTGAAATATAATACCCTTATTATTCTGTAAGATAAAACACTGGCTTTGTTCTATCTAGCTGTTTCCTTTTATTATTTAATAACTAATAAAGGGTATACCACAGTTGTGTGTGTGTTTGTGTCCAGGTGTCCTGTGCTGTATTCAATTCTGGGGTCCTGACATGCTATCCCCAACCATCTGCAGGTGCGATGACGTCATCGTCATGGCGAAATTTAATTCATTTCTGATTTTTACTGTGTATTTTGTGATTCATCGGTGAATTCTTGGTGTATGACCCATTAGCTTGTCTACTGGAATTTGAGATTTGCTTGTCCCCCTTTTGGTTCTGTTTGACTGATTCATGTATATATAACTTTTTGTGTAAATATTTTCCTTTTGGAAATAAAACTATATTACATTACAGCACTCTCAGGACTGTAACATCGAATCATTGCAGCATTACCTAACTCCATTATTACATTACCAGTAGTTTCAATGTACAGATGAACACATGATGGTGAAAAGCCCTTTTACTGCTGTCATAGTGCAGATTTAGTAAAAGCAGAATGTCCATGTACTCCTAACTCATGACTTTGGTGTTGGTAAGTTTCTCACGAACAGCAACAAACAACAGATAAGTAATCAGTCTGACGAATCCTGTACATGTAGTCATAATTCAAGCATAAGAGGGTGGAGGAAGCAATGAGGAAATCGCCCTCAGACCAACGCTGGACCTCACAGCTGCTGTTACTCCATCTCTGTCCCACGCTGTACTGAAATACAACCCACACAGGGTAAAAGGAGCATCTTCATTTGTGAGCTCTGTCTGAGAAAACAAAGTGTATTTATTTGTGTAGCATACAGAAAAGTCACAGTGTACTGGATATTGGTGTGTGAACTAAAGGCTGATTATGTGTAGAGGTATGAATGTAGGTATTTGTGTGTGTGTTCTAAGGGATAAAGGCACACCACCTGTCTCTATCACGCTGGGCAGCAGCTGGCTGAACCCCCAGCCAAGCATGGCCATTCCCATGAGCCCTCATTCCTGCAGAGAGAGAGAGAGAGAGAGAGAGAGACAGAGAGGAAGAACTCTGTCCCCTGCTGACTCAGCCTTCCTCTATGACCAAATTCAACAGCTTGAAAAAAATTCAAATGGGAAACCATTAACTTTTATCTCTACCTTCTTTATGTTTAATCAGTGACAAGAATTTTAAAGGACATCAAATATGACATTTACGTAAAAACCTAATTGAGGCAGGAAGTTTTTCTAAAACCTTTTTATTTACTCATGTCACGTTCATGTCATTGGGGAAAAAATGCTTACAGGAATTCATACACCTTGTTTTCTTGTATCTTGATAAAACTTTTAATCATGCATTTACACTTATTGTCAAATGTGTCTCCTGTGATCAGATGTTGTTCCTCTTTCGGCTGCTCCCGTTAGGGGTCGCCCCTGTGGATCATTGGACCCTGTGGATCATTGGACCAGATGCCCTTCCTGATGAAACCCACCCCAGTTTTATCCAGGCTTGGGACCAGCACTGAGAGCATACTGTTGCATGCAACCCCAGTGGCTGGCGCTGGTTCCCTGGGTGGGAATTGAACCCGGGCCACAGCCATGACAGCACTGTAGCATAACCACTAGTCCTCCAGGAACTGCAAAAATCAGATTACTATAATGTATATAAAATGCAAATCAGCTAAAACACACACAATCTTTTGCAATCTTCTGTGCAAAAGTTGCCAAGGACAACTGTGATTTTGTGTTCAGTTTCATTAAACAAGATGTACATGTACACATGTACACATGTACATGTTCAGGATATGTTCAGGGGGATATGTGTGGTTGGAGAGTGTTGTGTTCATGTGTTCTTGGAGAGATGGATGTATTTATCTGGCTTACAATGTGAAGTAGTTCTGCAAATTGGCTTTAAATCTGCTAGATATCTCTTAATTGCACTTACACCTGCATTTTTTATGTGGACAATCCCTATCCGGACACAATCCTGATACTCAAGATGCATGAAACACTCAAACAGAGATATTAAAACTATTAAAACGATTTAAATTAAATTCAGTCAATATCTGAGTCTAGATTGAGTTACTATGTGGCAAGATCCTAGGCAACAGACAAAAGATGCAAAAGAGGAAAAGAGAATCGATCACAAGAAATTTTACCTGGAACGTATAGTTAAATACAGTATTACTCTTTTAACAACTCTTGAAAACGATATAGATTTTTTTCTATAATACATAATAAACTGCTTGATGTGGTGATATGCAGAAAAATGAACATTAGACAACAAAGGCAAAAAGGCACCAACAATCTGACCCTTATCAAGAAATCTAAAGTCTGTGATTATGTACATTCCTTCTACAGTGCATTTCCATCATTTTATGCCAACAATCTGCATTTATAAAATGCATTTATATTATTTTATGCCAACAATGGTGTGATACAAAGCATGGTTTGGCTTCATACCCCAGAACCTTACATTTTAAATGACACAATAACCACGAGATTAACTTTACACTTTAATTCAGGTCTATAATGAGTGAACCATCACTATAGTGAAGTGTCACACCATTTTAAAACAAATTTCCCTTGTTTCAGGAGACAGAGCATAATTAGAGAAATGAATATGATCGTAATTAAAATTATTCTCTTCAGACATCGGCTACTCTGTTTGTTTGGAGACTTTCTGCCCTCAGTCTTGTGTTCAATAAGTCCACTGAAGCTCAATGGGGTTCAGGCTGAATGAATTCCCCAACTATTCAAGAACTGAAATTTATTTTTCTTACAGTCCCATGATAGTAAACTTGGAATAGTTACTTTAAAATTTCTCTTTGTGTTGATTTATCATAAGTAACCACTTTAACCTGGTAAGTATCCTGGAGGATTAGGAGCCTATGCCGGGTACAGGGAAAAATCCTGCATGCGGATAAAGCCAGTCCACCTTGGGGTTACACACACACACACACACACACACACACACACCAATCCACCGAGCAGCATATTTTTAAGAGGTGGGAGGACACCAGTACCCGGAGGAAATGACTGACTGTGAGACCAAGCACAACATGCAAAACCGAGAGTAACCTGAGCTCAGGATCAAATGCTGGACTCTTGAGCTGCTGATGTGCCCACTAAATTTTTATTTAATTTGCATGTCATAGTTGAGTGTCATGTACTTTGTCACAGTTATGTCAGTAAGCATGCCAGGCAAAATTTTATCTATGGGCACAAAGAACAGTGTAATGAAATAACATGTCTAGGTCCATGGTACAACATAGAAAACAGTCTTCACTCGAGCTGCAGGTGGCACAAAGCTCAAGAAGTTAAGCAATAAAAGACGCTTCGCACACCAAAGGAATGAGTCCACTATCTCTATTTTTATAATATGAAAAAGGTTTAGGGTGGCACAATGGAGCAGCAGGTAGCATTGCTGCTTCACAGTTCCAAGGTTCCTGTTTCAAGCAGAAGATGATGGTCTTTATTGTCAAATATCCAAATGTAGTACAATGGCATTTATTTGTTCGCAGTCCAACTTGTTTGGACACTGGGGTCAGAGTGCCGGGTCAGCCATGATACAACACTCCTGGAGCAGCAAGGGTTAACCAAACAGCGACAGTATGGAAGTGCTGTAATATGAACTCATAACCTTCTGACTGGTGGCCCAGAACCTTAACCACTCAGCCAGCGCTGCCCCGTTCCCTTGACTGTGTGTGAATGGTGCCCTCTGGTGGACTGGCTTCCCATCCAGTGTGCATTCCTGCCTCATTCCTAGTCCTGACCTGGACAAAGTGTGTACTGAATGCATGCATGAATGAAACAGGTTTAACAAACAAATAAAATAAAAATAGGGTGCAATTCTCACAAAAAAAAAAAAAAATTGGCCAGGAGTTCAAGAGAGCAAAATTGGCAGTGCTCTCTGGATAAGAGGGATTCTCTTTCTCTCTCTCTCTCTCTCTCTCTCTCTCTCCCTCTCTCTCCTGCCAATCAGAACAACATTAATGAATTCTTATCATCCATGAGCTCATGTATGTAGAAGAGGGCAGTTAGTGCTTTCCTCCGAGTGTGTTCAGCTGTGAGCAGCATGAGCAGCAGTTTAAAAAAGATGAAGTGACTTCATGGATCTCAGAGGAAACACATTTAGCACCCATCCTTCCCGGCTTGTTAGCTGTCATGAAATAGGGTAGAACCTGCTAGTAGCTGGGAAGTGGCAATGATTAAAATAGGGAAAACCTGAACGAAAAGAAAACTGTGAAAAATGAAGTACAATGCATTCTAAATTTTAACCACCAGAGCACAGTGTTGTGCTTTGAAAAGAAACCCGGCATCTATACCACATTCTTCATTCAGGATGTCCTCAAGAACATAGCACTCTCAATATAAAGAAATAAAAATAAGCATTATTTATTGACTGATTTAAAAAAAAAAGTCTCTATAACTTTAATACGTTTCAATAAATTCGTTTTGGTCACAGTCAGTGTGTGTATCTTTCAACAGCAGCCATGAGGAGTGCATCACTACACACAACCCATGATTAATACACAAAACATGAAAGACCTTCCCAGTCATCCTTTAGTTTTCTAAGAGCTGTGCCGCTACAGAATTGTTTTGGACCAAATGCACGTTTGCGATATAGACAAGCATTAATTTATGATGTGGAAAATAAATTGGCAACTTGTTAGCCAGACACTTTAATATCTTATCTTTGCAGTAATAGAGAGCTTTAATCCCGGTCTTTTTCTAATGCCCTCCATTGTTCTCCATGGTGCTAATGAGCATGCAGTATTCCTTTTGTGCTCCTGTTGTGTGCTCTGAATATTCATACACACTTCAGTCTACAGAATTGCATTTATATTTGTTAGAAAAATGTCAAAATTTGATACTAATGAACTAATTAGCTAATTAATGTGATACCTACAGCTAAATATAACCTTAACATCAGTAACCAAAAGGAAATCTGTTAGTTGAGCTCTTTTAGTTTTTAAAATAAACGCTGCAGTTTTTGTTAAAAAAAACAAAAAAAAACAGTCCCCCCCATCCCCCAAGAGTGTGTGTGTGTGTGTGTGTGTGTGTGTGTGTGTGTGTGTGAAAGAGAGAGAGAGAGAGAGAGAGAGAGAGAGAGAAATTAGCTTTATTCTAATCAGTCTTGCTAGGTAAAAAAAAAGACAGTGTATTAGTGTATTTAAGCTAGATGCATGTTTTAGTTTACTGTAATACTAGTTAGCATGTGAGACTGTTTACTGTGCCTAGTGAAAGAAGGCGACTCACTCATAATGACTACATGAGTACAGGCAGAGTGGAACAGGACACTGGCCGACATGTGCACCGGCTCTGCTGCAGCTCTACAGTAGATGAAATAAATGACTGGTCTATTACGCTGTCACAACTGCACTACCAGGTACACATTAATGTAAATTAAATTGCAATCAAATATCACATGAGTGGAAAAAATGAAAGGGGCACGTGCTCACTCAGTCTGTGCACACATGACGCCTCAGACACCCTGCCTGCTCCAAAACCCTACATCTGTGGAGAATTGGTTCAGAAATAGAGATGAAAATGAGAGCTCAATAAAAAGCTAGACTTTAGTGTCAGTCATGCACACTTCCAGTGTGATGAGCACACCAGGACTCTGATCAGCGTCTGCCTTTTCAAAAGCTCCCCATCTACACTTCTCTTCTTTCCTCCCATTCTTCTTCTTCTTTCACTTTCGTTCCTTTCGGCTTCATCCTTATTACCTTCTTTTCTCCTTATCCTTTCCTTTATCTTTTCTGATTTCACTTGTCTCTGTCTCCATCACTCCTCACTGCCTCCTTTCTTTCTTTTATTTCTTCCTCCCTTTTCTTGTTCACACACACACACACACACACAGATATTAATGCTCTCATTTCCTCATAAACACCACAAACACAGAAAAACAAAGAACAGACATACATATCTGTGTGTTCCTCAGGGTGTGCATCTTCACCGTGTGTGTTATGGGCAACTGCATAAATGTGTGTTTGTAAAAAATTGGTTGAGAGAGCTTACTGGAAGAATGTGTTTTTTCTTGTGTAGGTGTGTGTTGTGGAGTATTGCAAGTGCATGAGTCTGTGTATATGTTGTTTTGTGTGTGTGTGTGTGTGTGTGTGCGTGTGTGAGGGAGGACAGTGGAGGTGGACTGACCACGCTTTGCCAATTAAAGTGAACATCATGACACAATGGTGAGTGTTTCGCCTGAATGCTACAGTGACACGTGTGTGGAGCGAGATAATGGGGTGTGTGTGAGCCTCAATCGATGACACTCGGTCCCCTAGTGCACGACACACACATACAACTGCAAGAGTCACTAAAATGTCAGTGCACACACACACACACACACACACACACACAATGATACAACTCACTAAACAACACTCATTAACAATCACAGAGCCATGCACACACAAAACAGGCACTCTCTCAAGCACACACACAGCCACTTTCCTTTTAAAATTAGACACAAATGTATTTTGTGTATAATTATACACAAATATGAAATTACACAACACATACAACAGTGGCAGTTTTGTGCTCTTTCTGACTGATTTTTCTCTGCTGCTATATTTTTACTGCCTCTCCAACACATGTCTGTTTTCACAGACACTGCCTATTAGTCATAAAT